TGCGTCAAATCGGAACACCGGAGAAACTGTGACCAAAATATTATTTAATATCCCCACCGCCATTACTTTCGGCGGGAACTGTATATAAATGAATTATTACATTATATAAAACTAACTGATTCTAAATTAAAAACTTCAGGTAATATAGCATATGATCAAGCGAATTCTACAAATCAATAAATTTAATATTTTAAATCATGTAAAATGTGATTCTAAAATAATAAATTAAAGATTAGGTATTATAAATAAGTTAGCTTAAAGCTAAAATAAATAATTAAGTAAATTACATAATAAATTAATTTTTTTAAGCTTCTAAGATTTGGATAAAACTATAAATGCGTGATCAAACTATACTAATTATAATATTTTTTATTTTAGGTCATATAGAATATAATATAAAAGTATTACAATAAAATTTTAAATAACACAAAAGTTAGTTTTGAGATAATATTTTAAAAATTTCAAATATAAATCATAAATTTTTATAATTATATTAATTTTGACAAAATGTTGCTTTTAGTATAACTTATTCAATAATAATTATATTTTGATAAAATTTAATATGTTATTTCATTATATTTAAATGCAACTACTTGTAAAAATTTATCATATATTATTATGTAAGTTTTCTGATTAGAGCATTTTTATATGTAATAAAAATGAATAAATGATCAGTAAATTGATCGGTAAAATATGATAAAATTAAGCATATCTGCTATGTTATTTTAAACTAATGATCAATGAATATGTCTCTAAATTTTGAGAGTTATTCATTTATTATAGAAATCTACTTATATTAAATTTAAAGCTTTCTATGTAAAATCTCTTGAAAAAATTTTTTACTCTTATTAAATTTTATTAATTTTATAAGCCACTCTTTATTTTTGTTATAATAAATGCATTTTTTTTTGATATACATTCCAATAGTAGTTAAGAAAGTAATTCTTAAAACCTTATAGCTAAAAAGAATCGTGACAATTTAAAAATGAAATCAAGTCAAATTTATCATTAATATTAATTAAATGAACTTAAACTTTGTCACTATAACTTTTTTTATTTTTTTTATTTAAACTACTTTTAATATTTAATATAATATTATTTTAAAAATATTTAGTAACAATCAATTGATTCCCTTTAAAGGTTAATTTTTTAGAATCAGCTTTTTCTTTGGAAGAATAGTTTTTTTTGTTTGTTTTTTTTTATTACTACTTTTATGATAAAAAATAAAATGGAAGAAAAAATTCTAGAATATCCATATTATAATAAACATAGTTATGAATATAATGATTCAGATATGAAGTATGAACTTTTTAATTATAACAGTTATACTGATAACTTATTTGAAAAATCTAAATCTCGTATAATATTAATTGAAATTAAATAGCAAGATTACGATTAAAAATAGTGCAGCAACTAGTTGTAACCATGTAATACTTATTTGTCACAGAATTGCAACTAGTTGTAAAATTAAGTTGCAACTAGTTACAACCTTATGATAAATAAGCATCACATAGTTGCAATTAGTTGCAGCACTATCTTTAATTATGATCTTAGTTTAGATGAAGTATCGCTAAGTAATGTTAAAGAATATCTATTACCAGAACTTGAAGATAATGATAAAGTGAATGAAAATGATGTAGATTAGCTGGGATCAAATTTTGACATCCAGTCTGAAACAGATTCTTAGTTTTTTTATCAATTGATGAAAATATAAAAATCAATTACGAAGTTTAAGATAATATTAATAAATCTAGTGGTAATTGTATTATTATAGATGTGATTAATAAAAAGTTTGTATGTTATTCAAATCAAGTATTTTGGTCACTTCAATAACTTATTAGAATTTATGAATTAGATTATAATTCAGTTAATAAAATTATCAAAATAAATCAGCCAGAAGCATTGAAATTATTGAATATATATTCAAGTCATTTCAACTTTGATCAAAATAAACTCTATATGTATAGTTTAAAAAATTCTGTTTCTACAAAAAAATTCTGAATATATAAGAGATATTGTTTATTCTGTTATAATGATAAATATTTTTTTAGTAGAGGAGACAGGTGTAGACAATATTCTTAGAGAATATTAGAAAGAAATATTCATGTATTATATTCTGAATTGAATGCGTTGTGACGGGTAAAATTTTAGATAGATTTAATTGGTAGAATATTAAGTCTATTTTATTGCCATGTAGATCTTTTATGAAGATCAA